TTAAATATATAAAATATATTTTACATATTTTTGAGATATTAAAAAACTAAAAAACCTACTGCTTAAACTACAAATCAACATTGTCAAATTAAGCCATAGACAATTATTATTGACTTATATATATATATATATATATATATCTTAGTTGTTAAATAACCAGAAATTCTCATTTTATTATCAAGTTGCAAATTTTGTTCATTCCTTATTTATTAGAGAGATTAATGTCTATAAGTTAGATTTGTAAAAAATTGAGTAAAAAAATATTTTAAGACAATGCTATTTTAATAAAATAACAAGAAAAAAAAACTAAAATAGTTTTACCTTGTTCTGAAAAATAAGTTATTTTAAATTTTTAAATAAAAATTTATTCAAATGATATAATTTTAAAATATTTTTTGTTCTTGATTTTTTTATAAAAACGAATTGTTCGAACCCTCACCATGCGTTCCTGGAAACATTTAAATGCGAACCATCCTGGAAAATTCGTGTTCATACGTTTGATCTGAGTATGACTCGCTTGGTCCAAAAACCTCCAAAGTAACCATGAAACATTTCCAACCTGATCGATCAACTTGCTCCCCACCCAGCTAAAAAACAAAAGTCAACCTGCCCTACAGTATATAGTTCGTCTGGGGCATATAAACATGTTTCAACCCTAACTAGACGTTGTGGGAGTTAATCTAACTTCCCCGCACTAGACGTAAGTTGATTCAGTTGGTTTATTTGATACTATATATTTATGCATGCAAATATACGAGCTAGCTATATAGCGTTGGATAGTTTGAAAAAGTGTTGAGACAAATTTTGAACTTGTAAGTTTACAGGTATTTTGTTCTTTGAGTTATCATTAAAGGACATAAGAATATTTGGACAGATGTAAAGATATGATGGTGCATATTAAATTAATTAACATTTGTTTAATGGCTTTAGTTGACACATGTTTCTGCTTAAGAAATTTAAAATGTCCAGAACATGAAACCGGCGGGTGCATTTGTAAATTTCCAACGGACATAAAATTGTTACATTTGGATTGAATGATAAATTTGAATGGAAGTGTTCATTTGGACATAATCAAACTTAATCAGACATGTTGAAACTCAAAGAACATATTCATCAGAGCAAACTTTGAGTGAATAGATGTGATCAAATGGACATATCTGATTAGAAAGCACCCAAGACATCCTTTTGGCTTCAATATATAAACCAAAGTTTAGAATTTCTTTGTAAGTAATTCTCATACATTTTCTTCTATTCCTTTACTTCGATCTTTGTTAATTTTTTTTTTTTTCAAGAGCAAAATAAGGTCTATTTCCAAAATAAAATTGTTATCCAAACATTATTTCCAAGTTTATTTTATTTTTTATTTTTGGTGAACATGCACATTTGGTAATTTGTTCCTCTCTTTTGACATGCCCTAGCTTGTTGCTCTACTCTTTTTTAGCTTCTTGTAGATCTGTGGGTATTTCTTGTACTCAACAGCCTGTAATTCGTTTTGACCGGTAACCAGAAACAATGGAATAAAATAAACAAGAATTTTCATGATCGCCAAAAAGGAAGGCTTTTTAATCTGAACTGTATAAAAAAAAATGTAACCTATGCTGTAAAAGTATTTAAATTCCCTTAATGACTCTTCTCCTTGTCTTGATTCATTTAGAATGTTTTTACAATTATATGACTCAAATTACTTAGAAAAGTATAATTTAGACTTTAAAAAAAAATTTCTTGAGAAATTAATATATAACTTTGATTGTTATTAATAGAAGTAGGGTTTTTCTAAGAGTACATGTTTAAGATGTATTAATTATATTTTTTTTTTATAAATTATCATAAAAAATAAAATTTCACTTCAATTTTATTAATTGCTCCTTAAAATCATGCATGTACTATTAAAGTTAAAAATAAAGTCAATTTTTATATTTTCCTATGTGAATTAATGATAAAAATACATAATTAATGTATCACTAATTTGTATTTGTATGACACAAATTATACAAATCTATATAAATATAAATTGAAATCAATGCACAGAAAGCAGGGTACTTTTATCTCCCCTGCTGGAATTTACAAAAGTTCACTACATAGCTTGGCCTTGTGTGATCTTAGTCTACAATGACTAAATACGATCATTTAGATTATAAAATTGAAATATATGTTAACCAAAATTCATTATAGATGCCTAACAATCTAAATAGTTTAATTATAATTTTCTTTTCATAAAAATAAAAAGTCTTAAATTCAAAATACATATCATGCATTAATAAAATAAGTTAAAGAATGGGAGATAATTGTTTATATTAAGCAATCCAAAATAATAAAAAAAAAATTGATTGCACAGTTTATCCTCGGAGAATTATACCCAAGGGAAAATTAATGTCAGAAGAACTATACATGTTTTGTATGTCACAAGTTGTACCTGAATTCTTCCATTGCCTATTTTCAAAAAAAAAAAAAAAAA